TGAAAAAGAACATTACATAAATGCCCTATTTTTGTTAACTGCTAATTTATTCATTTTTCAACTCTTAATGATCAATTTAGAATTTTGTTGATCATGGAAATTTTCTAAAGATCAGAAATTAGAAAACTGCCTTTGAAATTCTATACTCACTCCAGAATGTTTTCTCTGGACAAGTTCTGATATGTTAATACATGGCCTCGCTACACTGTACAGGTAATATATGTGAGGGCAACAGTGAGATGGTCTAAAGACCTGCTGATAAGAAACCCCCAGAGAGTTAACTTTGCCAGTTCAACATGTTGTGAGGACAGTCTCAGTGTTTCCTAGGGATAGGTTATTAAATGATATTAACTCATTTGAGGAAAGAAAATATGAACAGAAATAGTTAATTTATCGAAACTTTGGAGAAACAAAATATGACGGTGTATATACAGTGTTATCCATGAAAGGGAAGTCCTAAACCAGGAGATGTTAATAATTCAGTGAACAGAAATGTCCTCTGCTTCAGGTAGGACCAGTTTATCAAGACCCACTGTGACTTGGGGAGAACTTTCCTCAAGACTTGCCACTTGTTTTGGCACTAATTGCAAGCTTAACTGAACCACCTTCTGATTGCTAATATGGCCCTTGAAGCCGTGATCATTTAGGAAAAGGAGGAACTGTGAGGGCACCAGAATTCCATTCTGCACATAATAAATTTAGAGAAGCTCAATGGTTTATACATCAGTCTCATGTGAATTTAGTTTGTGTGGTTCTGTCCCCATGTTTGTCACTTCTATCTGAGTTTCTGAATGCTCTGATAAACATAGTTTCTGACCCTTCAGGGCAGAGAACCAAAGCTTGGGCAGATTATTGAAAGCATCACTCTTTGGGTCTTCTCCATAGCCAGGCTACCAGCCTTCTAGTGGCACTTTGTCTCACTGAGATTGCACTCAAACTTCATCACAAATATTCTAGACAAATAAGCTAAATGGTAGGACAACCCTCACATGCTTGTGACGTGAGGTAGCAACTGGGCAGGGAAAAGAAAGAAACCATTTTATCACAGCATTGTATAGCAACTTGTCACTAGCTCTTGGGTCAAGATGATGGATTTTCACCAGTTAGATAGTGTCAGGTCTAGAAAAGGTGCTTAAATGTCGTCCATTAACAAACACTGTAATAGTTATCGATGCTGTATAACAAATTATCCCCAAACATAGCAGCTTAAAACAACAAACATTTTATTATCTCACATGGTTTCTGAGGATCAAGAATCTGAGTGACTCTGCTGACACTGGGGCTGTAGGATCCACTTCCAAGATGGTGCACTCACATGGTTGTTGGCAGAAGGCCTCAGTTCCTTATCACACGAGCCTCTTCACAAGGCTACCCGAGGGTTCTCAAGACGTGGCAACTCGTTTCCTCCAGAATGAGTGATCCAAGAAAGAGTACAGAAACCACAGTGCCTTTTATGACTCAGTCTCTGAAGTTACACAGCAGCCCTTCCACTTAATTTGATTTGTTGGAAGTGAGTCACTAAGTCTATTTTGCAGTCAAGGGGAGGGGAATTGGGCCCTATCTTTTGAAGGGAAGAACATCAAAGAATTAATGTTCATATTTGTTAACCGTCAGCATGTACACACACGTCTGTTTACAGCCGGGTTTCTCCCAGGGCACAGTCAGAGTCTCTTAGGGAGTCTTGACACTGAGGAAGATGACTTTGGGAAGGACTGCTGTTTATTATTAAGGTTATTAAGTAGGAAATATCCGATTTCCTTAAGTACTAAATATGACAGTTGATATCTCTGACATTTCAGTTTGACATTTTTTGTTTTATTTTTGTTGTGAAGGTACAGCCTCATTCTTTAAAATGCACAGTTTGGCTTGTGATTATCTTTCAAATTTTTTTTAAGAACAATTTTTGTGAAACCATGGATAAGTCAAAAATTCATGTTATTTTCTAATATGAGTTCCATTGTGGAACCCATGCAGTGCAGACAGCTCGAAATATCAACAAAGGGTTTGCAAAGGATGTGGCTAATCAACACACAGTACGTCACTGGTTTGAGAAGTTCCATTCTGGTGATATATATATATTTTTTTTATCTCTCACTGAATTCAATAAGAATCACCTAAAGAGGGATCGTTATGCATGAGCGAGGTCACTCTGTACAAAACTTTAAACTGGGTCTGCTTGTTATTACTAATTAACTGTGGTGGTAATTTGTGGTGGTGTTCTGTTCTGGTTTTGTTTTTTGCTGGTGAAAGTACTGTAATTTCATTTCCAGCCATTTAAGAGATGGGGAGGAAACACTTCTGATTCCATAGCCCACCCTCGAGCACCACCAGTTTTATCACTTTGGTGGCTAATTCTTAGTGGGCAATCCAGCCATTGGGGAAGGTGAATGAAGATCTCTTTCAAATATTTTCACCTCAAAGCTTTATAATCCCCACTGTGGACCTGCTGTTTTATCACAAGAGGGCGCCAGTAGACAGGATAGTTTTCCCCCACTGGCTAGCACGTGGGGGCTCTCGGAAAGTTTTATTACCCTTAGTAATCAGACCTATTTTAAGGATACTTTGGACTTTGATAATTTATTAAACATAAACTAGGAGCAGTTCCTTTCCTGTCTTTTTCAAAGGGTGTTCTATTTAAATATTTTAGAGCAGTTAGGTGGAACTAGATTTATGACACAAAACCCATCCACATGGAGACTCAGGCATTTTGCCCTCCCATAGAGAAGCATTGTTAGGCCCCTAGAGACCTGGCCAAGAATGGTTTGGTCAAATCTTCATCGGTATCATTCCTTTCCAAAGGGTTCTAGCACTTGTTACCTTCGTATGAGTTTGAGTGGTGCTGAGTTCCTGAATTTAGATTTTTCCGTTTCTAAATCAACTCACCTTTCTTTGCCTACCCATGTCATTCAGACCTCTGAGCCAGTCTCTGCTGTCTGCAAAAAACAATGCCTGACACTCAAGGGCCAACTTTTCACAACCAGTAAGTAGCCTACTCCCTGGTGAGCTAATGACTTCTCTTCCTAACGGGGTTGCATGCTTTCCAAAAGTCAGTTTTATTTATTTCCATACATGTTTATGCAAGCATGTTGTACTTAGTCATTACGTAATTTAATTCAATATTACCAAAATCAAACAATTATGAATGTGAAGAGAATTGTAATCTCTATGAAAATAAATTGAATACTTGGGAAAGACCTGATAAAGACATGTTATGAAAGAATGCTGTGGAATTAGGTGTGGGCAAAACAGCCGTGAATGTTTGGGTGGGAGAGGGAAGTATCAAAATACAGAACAATTTTGTCCTCATCTTGCTTCACAAGTGTCTTAAGTCCTTGTTCTACTGAAACTGAAATTGATAATGTTACTTGCTGTGTGAATGTCTCATGCGCAGGCCCAGGCAACAGGCCCATGCTCAAAGAGAAAAGGTCTTACTTAGCCTGACATCCAGAGAATGATGGATGAATTGACTTATGTTTTGAAATTAAAAATAAAATTTTGATGATATATAATTTTATGAATCCACATTTTAGCTGACTTTGCCCTTTAACTGACCGACTACAGATTCTGACTGCACAGAGGAACGAGGCTTCCTACAGTCCGGTTCCAGGAGCTGCCAAGCAAAGTTACGGGGAAAAGAAATTGCCTGGGCCTCCGCACTTCCTCAGAGACTTATTCATGCTTTCAAAAGATTAGCCACATTTTCGTGAAGATTATACTTCAGAGTCCCTCATCTCTGGGCTCTGGGCTTTATTTTAGTAGAACAGATTTTTAAGAACTTAATCACCTTTAATGTGTCTATGCCTATTAGTTGAAAGAAAGGTTTCAAGTTTTTCAA